AGGCTGAGGGGAGCTGCCTGGTAGGGAGGTGAGGAACCCCTGGCTGTCAGAGCCCTCTCCCCCTTGATTCCTCCCATGGGACAGAGATGACTTGTATAGGAGCCATCCTCAAGGGCAGGGGATGGGGCTGAGTCAGTGAGGGGGCGCTCTGGAGCAGGGAAGCTCCCTGTGTGCTTAGATCCTCCCACCCCACAGTCCTGCAGGGCCCACACGCCAGAGCTCACTCACCAGGATCCTGCAGGCTTCGCTCAGGAAGGTGGGGATGGCGGGGGCCACCCCCTCGGCTAGCTGGCTCTACACGAACGTGCGCAGGGGCTGGTAGCTGAGGAAGGGTGCGCACTGCAGCAATGCCACCCTGCACGCCTGCTGGAGAGGGCGAGAAGGGAGCTGGGTAAATCCCTGAGCTCAACGGGCTGCCAACTCTCAGGCTCTGCGTGGCTTGGGGAGACTCCGCTGTGCCGGAGCAGCAAGGAGCCACCTCTTTGCAGAACCTCCTCTGGCCTGATGGTTGTTCCCCAGGCCCCCACAGCCCCCATCTCCAGCTTGGCTGGGTTGAGGGGAGCCAGGCCCGAGTGCTGGGGCTGGGGAGGGACACTCCTGGAACAGGGAAGGGGCCATTCCCTGTGGGTCCCTGTTGGTCGGTTAACAGCACTGCCCGATGACCAACGTACTTGGCCTCCCCTCAATCCCAGGCACTATTGGGGGCTGCTACTCCGCTGGGGCGGGGGTTGTGGTGGGATTGCTGCAGGAGGCTGGTCATTCCCAGACAGGAGCTAGCACACAAGTGAGGACAGGGCAGCAGCAATGGAGACCCAGTTGGCTTCAGCGACCTGCCCTTCCCTGAGGCCCTGCTTGGGTTAGGTCACTTGCTAGGGGCCAGAGATAGACCTGGACCTGGCCGCTAAACAGGGCAGGCTGTAAAATGGAGCCACAGCCGCGGAGAGGCTGGCTGGGCAGGGAGGCTGGAGGTGCCTGTGGGGAATGGAGGAGGAGAAGGAAACCCCACAGATCTACCCCACAGCTACACTCTGAGGGCTGGCAGAGCTCTGTGTGGGGTGGGGGAGGGCTGGATTAGTGGGGGGTCCTGGGTGCCACAGGGCAGCACTGAGGAGATCTGGGGCTTGGAGGGGGGAGTTTGCACCACCCTTGCCATGTTGTTAGAATGCCCCCAGCCACCCCTGCCCCTATGAGCCCTCAGCTGCACTCACCTGGACCACGTGGGGGTCCCTGTCCTGTAGGTGGATGAGCAGCGTCCCCATGCTCTTCTCCACCTCATCCCCAAAGAGGGATGACTTCTTGGAAACAAATTTGCTGAGGTGGCCAAAGAGCTCCATGGAGGCCCACCTCAGGCCGCTGTTCTCCTGCAGACAGGGGGCGCAGGGTGGTTAGAGGGGACAGGCTCAGGCCCTCACATGCTTTGGGAATCAGCTTGGCAGCTGCAGAGCCCGGAGAGGTTTCAGCTAGTTCAAACGACAGGACAATTCTCTGAAAACTCCCCTCTTTCCTGCTGGGCCCCAGGGCTGCCGAACAATTGTGGGCCCAGGGCCCAAGAATGATTGTATCCCTGCCTCCCCTAGCAGAGGAGCTGAGCTGCCCCACAAATCCAGAAATGTGCCTGCATCGGACACTGAGCCCCCTCCACAGGAAGGCAGGTCCTGAGCACCTTCCCCTGTGGGGTGCCCTATAGCGCCATGGGGCCTGCCCTGCTTGGTACTTACATCCTCAAAGAACATTCTCGCCTGCAGGGCCAGTGGGACGGCGACGTGAGCCTTCAGAGGCGCCTTGGGGTCCCGCAGCATCCAGCAGAGCCCTTCCATGGCTTCCAGAACGGTGCAGGGGTCGCAGCATTCGCACACGGTGCGGACAAAGCTCTCCAGGATCTGGTCTCGCTTTTTCCTGACCTGCGGAGAAGGGGTTGGATGCCGCTCGGTGAGCAACGCTCTGTCAGTCTGAGTGTAACCAGAGTCCGGGCAAGACAGCCTACAGCCTAGTCTGCTCCATAGGAGCCACAGGCTGGGGAGAAGGGGAACCAGGCGCTTCCTACCCAGCCCTCTCTGCCTAGTCTCCTGCCATTCCAGACCCACCTTGTCCGGGAACTCGGTCACTGCGTTCCTGAGGCCGTGCAGCGTGATACCAGACACCTCTGTGTTCCTGGGGAGCCAGGGTGCAGTATCCACTCAGACTCATGAAAAACATGCCCTCCCACCCCTCCCCAGCCTCTGCTTAAACCAAAACCCATCAGAAGAAGAAAACTTGCAGAGAGCAGTGAAGGGCATTGGGAGACACACCTAGACCCCTCCTGAAAAGGGTGACAAGATTAAGACATCTCCATTAGCATACAGAATGGAGAGCAGAAACAACTCCCCTAGCCTTATCTGCATGAAAGATGGGACAGGAAGACATCTCAGTTTACATACAGAATGGAGAACAGAGAACCACACTAAATTCTGGGACCAGAAAAAGCAGGGAAGCACTGCGTCCTGGGAATCTCTGCTCCAGATGCTAATGAACCTACGCCTGCACACACACCCAGCTCAGCAGTTATCAGACCAATTCTAGTAATGAATTCTTAATTGATAGCCAAATACTGAAGCAGCCTAGTTGCATTGTGAGCTCCCTGGAAGAAAACACCACCCATAGCCAAGAGTGATCAGATCCTATTGTCTAGTCTAAAGAAAACCCTTGAGTCATCAGTTTACCTAGAAACAAATCTAGTGTTCTCCCTTGAACCATTGTATTTTCTCTACAAAAATCCCTATTCACCCTCTAGTCAGGGTTCTGATTCTTAGATCCAAACTATGCATCAGTTCCACTGGAACTCCATCTTCTGACTGATTGTGCTGGGGGCTCTGCCTGTCTCCAGCATTCAGGACCCTCAGCTACCACCATCACCTGGGAACCCCAACCAGTTCAAGCCTCATGGAGTGGGTGAGATCCCCCCTTCTTTCTCTCTCTCTGTTTTCCTTTCTACCTTAGGTATTAACCTTTAATCATGTATGTTAGGTTGGTTTAGTCCTCCTTGTGTAGTTATCACTATTATTCAATAAATAACTTCTATGGTTAAGTTGGTTGCTTCTCTCTCTCTTGCTGAACTTTACTCGTTTGTGTTTTTAGCTTCCCCCATTCACTCCACAGCAACGCTTCTTTTACCTAAGCTAAAGATCCCTGCAGTTCTGGGTTCATCCGGTTCTGGGGGGGGGTGTAATCCAGCCCTAGGGACCTAGGTTCTGCAGGATAGCTCCATTGGGAGGGGACTTGCAGAAAGGAGAAGTAAAGCTCCATATGAAAACACAAGTGACACAAGCAGTACATTGACAGGATTACAGAACCCCCTTCCCCAGAGTGTAACCCGAATAAATGAGCATACCTCAAAGTAATGGGCACATCTGGTAACAAGCATTCTGCCTCAAACGTGGATGTTGCTGTCCTCTGTCCGCTGCAGCATGGCCTTCACAACCTGCTTCCGCATCGCCTTGGGCTCTTTCTCCATCAGCAGGGGGCTGCCGAGGAACTAAAGGGACCGAAAGGAGCTGTCAGAGAGGGCTGGGCGAGGCCAGGAGGAGCAAGGGGAAGGGAGTATGATCAGGGGCCAGGAGGTGACATAGATCCGTACCGACTGCTGTTTACGAGGGGCTGGCTTCAGCTGAGCTTAACCTAAGTGACATGTGCAGGGCAGAACGCTCCCTCTGCTTCCAGTGGGGTGCTCCCAAATCCCACCACAGAGCCCCCAGCAGAGGGATTAATTTACAAGCAATACACCACCGGGACCATCTCTCATTGGCTGACCAGCTATTGGCCCCCTGTTCCATCAGCTTCTGGGCCTGGCTAACCCTCCCCCCTGGTCTTCCAGGCTCACCTCTGCGAACAGGGCAGTGCAGGCCATGCGTTCGCCCTCCTGGCTGGCCTGGAGGCTGGGAAGGAGAAGCTTTGGGATGCTCTTCAGGGCCAGGTTTGGGTGGGTCACTATGGCCCTGGGAGAGAACAAGAGCTCGTGTTGACGTGTGCATGACAACCCTGCACATGCCGGAATCCGGCCCGGTCCCGGCCACCCCCTCCCATCTCTGCCCCACTGGGCTCCAGAGCGAGAACGTGCCTCCCCCAGCCTCTGTCCTCACCTGCTAAGGAGAGTGAACCCCTCGGGCTGGGCCTCCTCCAGCAGCTGCCAGCCTCGCTCCTGGTCCATTAGCTCCACAGCTGGCTGACTGCCCCTGAGGCGCAGCACCCGCGCCAGGGCCTGCACGGCCATGCTGGGAAGAGAAGGAGGCAGGAGATGGTGATGCAGGGATTCCTGCTCTCTGGGCGGGGTGGGGGCGGGCAGGACTCCCTTGCTGCAGCACTGAAGGGATCAGGGTGAGCCTAGAAGCTGCCCCACTTCTG